TTTGTTTTTTCCCTAAATTTCCACTACTTGGAAGAGACAAATGAAAGATATCATAATTCATATATAAAAGACTTCCAATGTCCTAATTAGATTTCACAGCCACAGCAGTACAGGTAGATCTCGCTTACTGACTGCCTCATTCAGTAACTATTCAAAGTTACGACTGTGCTGAAAAAAATAATTTTATGACCAATACTTGCATTTACAACTTTCACAGTCTCCTCAGTCACGTGATCACCATTACAGTCAGTACATGTGATCCTGTGCCTGACCATTTGTTTTCCCCCCCACACACACACGCAGAGCAGAGAGGTTGCAAAGGAAGGGATTACAAGAGAGTAAGCAGGCACACAATGGGAATACACATTGAAAATGATGCAGTGGCACCGGCAGCCTCAAGCATGCTATGCAAACAGCCAGTGTATTTGCTTGTTTCTCACCCCCACTTTAGAGTGGAGAGATTCCTTAAACAAGCAAGGGGGGAAAAAAGAAAAAAGAAAAAAGAGCAAGCAATCCCTTTACGCAATCTCTCCTGTGCCTGATCTGTTTTTTCTTCCCCTCCCCACTCTTGCAGAGCAGAGAGATTGGAGAGGAAGTGATTACAAGAAAGTAAGCAGGCACACAATGAGGAATACACCAAGCTGTTTGCGTAGTACACCCACGGCTCCCAGCCCTGAGCACATTGGGGTCTGCCCGCACTACCGCATTCTTTTCAATGTGAATTCCCCATTGTGTGCCTGCGAACATTAATTCCATTCTTGCTAATTATCCCAGCACTGGGATGAGCATTCCAAAGGGCGGGGGAGTGGGAAAAAGGAAAGCACAGCCATGGTCATGTGATTTCCCACTTAGCGACCACTTCGCTTAACCACAGAGCTGCAGGTCCCAATTGTGATCACTAAATAAGGACTACCCTGTAATAAGTTTGTCCCAACAGCAGCCAGATCATTCAGAGCTAAGGTGCTAGACTTTGGTTCTATGGCATGCAGCTCTGTGTTTATAAAGACATAATGGTTTTTTAAGAACTACAGTCCATGCTCCATGTGTCAAATGCATTCTGGCTTAGCTTCACTGGAGGTCAGTATCTAATCCACTGGCTGAAACATTGGCTAAAACTGTATTTCTTGGTGTGTTTCTTTGGCTCATTCAATTCTTTTGGATGGGTTAGTTCCTCCCTGGAAAAATGGTATAGCCTCAGATTTGATTAACTGTAGCCTCTCTGTCCGAACCCTGATAATGCCTGAGTGTGAAAAAGAGGTTAAGGAGAGTCCATGAGTGAGTGATTTAAAACTCCTGACTACTGTAATGAGAGTCCGTCTAGCAGACCATTCTTTATACCTACCTCTCCAACTTTCTTCTTGTTGCACATATACGTGGTGAGTGTATGTAGAAATCATTCCCTTCATATGCATTTTTATGAGCAATACATATAAGTGCATTTTATATTTTACTCTGTGAATTCTGAACAAGTTTGAACAAGTGTTTTTTCCTTGATACGATGCTTTTATGCATACTGTATCCTAACATATACATCTTATGCTAATTTTTCCTTACTAAACATATTTGATACCCATTTTTCAAATGGTGAACTGCATCACTAATTCTAAAAGTATAGATTTCAGCATACTAGCATGGTGTGATTTGCACAGAGTTCTAGGAAGTGTAAATATAATACATTCTTATTCAGGTTAATAAATTTCTCACGCATTTCTAATTCTACACTCAGTTTTATGAAGTACTATATTATGCTTGCTCCTTTGTTACAAGAACTTCAGGAGTATGATTTATAAATACATTATTTTTCTGTTCTTTTTTTCAAGGACCTCAGGATGGTATACATCCTTCCCCCACCTCTGCCATATATTCAGACACTCTTACCTCAGAATGGCTCTGATGTTAGCTGCTCCTGAGTGTGTGACTGATCCAAGGTCAACAAATGATCTTCATATCTATGAAGATTTAAACTGAATTTGCCTGATCACAATCCAACATTTTATACTGAGGAATGATAAGATGCTGTTCTCAACATGATGACATCTGTTTTTACTTATTTTTGTTGTGTAAGTATGTAATACTCTTTATTGACTAGCCTGGTATTTATTATAATTGGTTATTCATTGCCATAGGAGAGGTATTTCTAATTCAGAGGTACTGAGATAGTAATACTGACATGGGATTATTTGCTTAAGAAAAAAAAATCAAAAGAAGAATCAGCATGAATGTCAACATGAAGTATTTCCAGAAGTATATAGGCTGATAAATATTTTCTGTTCTTACTGTGTTTATTCCACTATTATATGAGTCATCTACCCTTCCCTTCCCTTCCCTTCCCTTCCCTTCCCTTCCCTT